TATAAATCTGCCAGAAAAAAGATTTAAATGTCAAATAAAACAGTTCCTTTGCAAAAAAGCTTACTATAAAATTGAAGAATTCGTTAACGATAATAATGTTTTTATAGAAAAACTTTAAATCTATAGCACTGACAATATTATCTGATTACATTAATAATGAGTGCGTAGCGACTTCTATGTTGATTATCGCATGCCTCTTACTTGTTATACTGTAATTATTTATATAAAAAAAACATCTATTAAAAAGAGCAATATACAAGTTTCTTGCTCATTCTTCTTGTGATGAATCTGCATTCCGAATGAGTGGTAGAATCAAAATATGACTATTCAAAAGTGCTTGTAATGAGTTTATTTGAATAAAGATTATTTCTATTTATTTTATTTAATTGTCTTTTTATAAATTGTAATTCCAGACATTGTGAATTGTAAGAGGAGGGAACTGGTACCTAAAATACAAGTTTCTACTTAGTTTGGGTACCAGGGAACAATTTAAATTGTAAATATTGGATGCAAAATAAAAATTATTATTATTATTATTATTATTTCTATTTCTATTCTGATGTATTCAGTAGTTTTTGTGTGAAAGAGTAACAAACATCTATCCATACTCAGAAACTTTCGCGTTTCTAATAATAGTAAGACCTTCCATGAAGTACATGTTAAATTCTATGAGTTATTCAAGTAGTTTCTACATGAATACGCTTAATGGAGGCATGTGTACAGACTGAAGCACAAGTTTGGAACTGGCACAGCACCAGGGCATACAATACTAGACAGCATAATAATTTACTGTTTGTACATCAACTTGTTGGTGACATTTGCACGAGCGGAGCGACTAAACAGCTAGGGTAACCAACTAATAGAGACAGAAATAAAACTAGAAATACAAATACCCACCTCGGTGGTCTAGCGGTCTAGAACACTGCTTTACGTCCGATTGTCGCGGGTTCGATTCTTTGCACGGCACAAATATTTGTATTTATGAGTATGATTGTTTGTCTAGGTATTTTCTATGTATTTACAAAAAATATATTTATGTATATGTATCAGTTATCTCGTACCAATAATACAAGCTTTAGCTAGCTTAACTTGGGACTAGATGGCGCTGTGTGAATTGTCCTAAGATTATTATTATTATTATTATTAAATAATTATTACTCCAATAAATATCAGCAATTTAGTTAACTATAGTTTCTTTACTCTACTCCTTATTTAGCAATTAGAGTTACTATTATACAATATATATATACAATAGATATTATTACAATATATATTTAAAAGAGCAACACGCAAGTTTCTGCGTGTTGCTCTTTTAAATATATATTATTCAGGTTTTGAATGAATACGAACTGTCAAATGTCGGGGCGGGTTGCATGTATATTAATAAGAAAATATTATAAATCTGGAGTTTGTTTGTTTGTACGTGCTAATCTCAGGAATTACTGGTTAGCATTGAATAATTCTTTCAGTGTCGGATAGCCTTTTATTGACAGGTAGCTGATGTAATAAGGAGTAACTTAGGCTACTTTTATTTTAGACAAATAAAGTTAACCACGCGGACGAAGTCGCAAGGACAGCTAGTTATAAATAAATATGTTATCCTGAAAACTGTACTCAAAAGTGATGTCACCAACACGAGGACACAAGAGGCTTCGTTAGTGTTTCAACTTGTCATACAACTAACTCTGTCTGAATTAGAGCCTTATTATTCAAAACATGTTCTATAATAACATTATAACGAGAGAGAGAGAGAGAGAGACAGAGAGAGCGCACTATCAACCGACTTCAAAAAAAGGAGGTACTTAATTCGATTACCTCTTTCCCTGTTTATAGACGAAATCTACATTTATAGATTAGAATAGTGAAATAAAAAAACAGTTCAAAAGATATCTATATGTAAATAAGGTCTGTTTGTTATTTCAAATTAACATACCAGTAGTTATGCATATGAAAATGTATATGGTACTTATATGAAAAAACAATTTAATTTTTTTATCAGTCTGATTGTCTGTTTGTATTGCTCTGAAACGGCTAGTATATTATGACGAGTCTTTCACTCGCAGATATCTTATGTTATATGGACTAACTTAGAATACTTTTTTATTATTAATTTTATTTATTTTAACAAAAAAATTTAGTTAAATTTCACATGGAAAAGTTCTTACGTAATAGCTACTTTAATATAAATTTACTTAAATAGAGATAATTCCTCATTTTTATCAACTGGCAAGTTTATTTTATCTATACATCTATACATATAAATAAAATCGGGGTGTCTGTTTGTAATATTGACATAATTGTTTTTTGCTACATGCATATAATAATAATAATAATAATGTACCGTACATAATCCAAAATAACATTTTTTACAATTTTTGTCTGTCTGTCTGTTTATTCCGGCTAATCTCTGAAATGGCTGGATCGATTTTGACGGAACTGTTTTTGACAGGTAGCTGATGTAATAAGGAGTAACTTCGTCTACTTTTATTTTAGAAAATTAAAGTTAAATTCCACGCGGACGAAGTCGCGGGAACAGCTAGTTCACAAATAAAAACTAAAGCGAAATAAAATTATTTCGCTGCTGGATAGTGTGGAAATCCAATGTAGGCGAAATCGAATTCCTACCAAATGCGAGATTCAATAAAACCTACCCTGCAAATGGGGTCCTTTTAGCAATCCAGTTGCGAAAGTTATTTAGGAACCTATCTACTCGTATGTTATTCGGACAAATTGTCGGCATGTGTTTAACTTTTTTATACACTAGAGGCCCGCCCCGCCTTCGTCCGTAGTTTTTTTACTACAATGGAGGGCAAAAAAGTATACGGCCTATCTGATGGAAAATTACCGTAGCCTATGGACGCCAGAGACACTAAGTGTACACGGGAGTGTGCTCGTAAAATTTGTATGTAGTTGCATAATATATATAAATAGAAATAATCTATATTCAAATGAACTTAATATAAGCACTTTAGAATAGTAATGTTTTTCTATCTCTCATCCACAATGCAGACTCACCACACGATGAACAGAAATAGAAATATAAATAATATTTTTTCAAATAAACTCAATACAAGCACTTTTGATAATTCATATTTTTTTTATTCTACCACTCATTTGAAACGCACATCACAAGAAGAATGAGCAAAATACTTGCGTGTAGCTCTTTTAAATAAATGTTGCTTTAAATAAATACACATTAACAAGGACGAGACATGCGATAATCGACAGTTACAAGAGTCCGTTTTTATTTTAAAAATAAAATATAAGCGCAAAAAAAGTTCGACAATACTGGCCACTAAGAAAAAACCTATGACCTAAGTGGCCATAGGTTTTTTCTTAGTGGCCAGTCCTAAGTGGCCATAGGTTTTTTCTTAGTGGCCAGTATATATTGAAAAACGACTTAATTTAAAATTATAAATATTACAAGAAAAGATTGTAATAATATAATTGTTTCTAATAAATCTAGTGAACGTGGCCGTTAAATTACATACTACGCTGGAATGTTCCAGAATAAATGTGAGTGAGTTTGATATTACATTGCTCCACTTTGGAGTGGAGTGGTTTGAGAGTGGAAGACGTTCGTCCTAGGCAAAACGTATTTCCCTTTCCTTCTACAAAACTTCCTTTCCATTAAAAGAATATAGGGCGTTACATATTGGTCTGTTATTATGGATGCGTAAACGAAAAAACCTATTAATAAATTTTGTGCCTACCGACCAAATATTAATATTGATAATATAAGTGATTCAGTCTGTCAATTTAGGTCACAAATATGGCGCGTAACTGTACCAAATAGGGGATCAATACACGTGACCTACTGTTGTTGAATAGACCCACAAAATAAACATTTATTGAGCTACATTCAGCCTACTGAATTTATTAAGCTACATATGCTTAATTCAGCTTACTCTACATGCAGCCTACTAAAATTGCCCTTGAGGGCCTCGGTGATACAGACAATAGCATAGATAATGTTGGGTGGGTCAAATAGTGAAAATAATAATCTAAATATATATAACTCAAAGGTGACTGACTGACATAGTGATCTATCAACGCACAGCCCAAACCACTGGACGGATCGGGCTGAAATTTGGCATGCAGGTAGATGTTATGACGTAGGCATCTGCTAAGAAAGGATTTTGATTAATTCTACCCTCAAGGGGATAAAATAGGGGATGAAAGTTTGTATGAAACTTTGTCAATTTTAAACCGATCGGGCTGAGACTTTGCATGCATAAAGCTACTATGACGTAGGCATACTGTTTGTATGTCAGGGTGTTTTCATCAGTTGTCTAGTACTCATAATGCAATTGCTTAACTTGGGACTAGATGGCGCTGTGTGAATTGTCCAGGATTAAAAAATAAGACACTTAATGACATCTCTATACATAAAGATAATTGAAAATGAAAATTCTCCAACGATATTTGACATAGCTACTTAAAATTACCAATTGGTCGTTATAGTCTTCGCACTTTATATAAGAATGCATGCGGCAATCAATACAAAATCGGCACCTATATATATTGTTCGGAGTCTACCCTGTATCATCGTAAGCACAGATATTATATTATGTTGGAGTCCGTTAGTTTTCTGTTCCCGCGCGTTCCCTTCCCCTCCCTAACTAGTAACAAACGGCCCGTACAGCGGCCGTGACGCGCGCGCGCATTGTGTTGTGAATTAAAATAAATTAGAACTGTGTTAACCTACTGTGAAGCTGGAAAGCTAGCGAAGATACCTTCGAGACCCTGAAGCCCAAGAAATCCGCAGAACCATAAAGGTAAATGACTGACGCTTCCCTAATATTTTGGTAGCAGAGTAGTTTCCCAAACATATATATATTTTCTGTACTAAACTTATTTAATACCTGTAAAATTGCACCACCATACTATCACTAATCAACGCAACGGTTGACTGGTAGAGAATACCATCAGACAGTCCGCCATGTATATAATTTTATGTGCAAAAGAAGAAATAAATTAAAAATATAACATGTACTTACATACAAAGTCCTTGATGGCCTGAGAGCCAGAGTCGAGAATATCTGTAGGGTTAACCCTAATCTTGCAGTATTTAACGAAGGGCATGTCGGGTAGTTTTGCCCACTCGCCCCCACCGCTAGTAGAGCAGTGTACGTCAATAGAGATTGAGTTCTCGTAGGCGCGGATGACGCGCTGGACCTCATTCTCTTGGTATGCATCTGTGAAATCCGCTAGGGAAAATGTCCCGTCCTGAAACAAGATGTAGCATCTTAGTAACTGGAATGGAGAAATAGAAATAGAAATAAAACTAATCTTCATTCAAATAAACTCAATATTTTTTGATGCACTTTTGAATAATCATATTTTTTATTTTACCACTCATTCGAAACGCAGATTCATCATAAGAAGAATGAGCAAGAAACTTGTGTGTTGCTCTTTTGAATAGATGTTTTTTATGTAAATAATTACACAATAACAAGTAAAAGGCATGCGATAATCAACATAGAAACCGCTACGCACTCATTTTTAGGATAATATTGGATGCATTTTAAGGAAGTGTTTTATATGACATTTAAATCATTTTTCAAGCAGATTTAGAACAGACTCCGGTAGTTTGTTGTAAAACCTTGCGCAATTACCATAAAACGAATTACTAACTTTAGTTAAACGACATGTAGGTAAAATCAATTTGTTATTGTTACGTAAGCTTTTATTAGTGTAATCATTAACTCTTTTGAAATTGTCTATATTTCTCCTGGCATACATGATATTTTTGATGAACAAGATAACAACCCTACTGATGTTATGTAGTGTTTTTATATATTGTTTATTGCAGTTAAATACATTTTTTGGTATGTTAATTAGAAATGTTAACAAAGGAGGACATATCTCTAAAAGAGATCTCTTCCAATCAACCCAATACAGCGTGCAATAGGAAATATTGAGTGGGTCAAATGTGTCTGTACAGGTGAAAAATTTTTCTTTAATTAGTTCAGTATTAAATTTCATTGATTTCAAGAGGTAATGGCGAGGAGGTTGATCTGACGTGATTCATTCCAATAGGGCCACTAGTTCAAATTACTAACAAATTTCCTCTTTGGTAAAGTGAAATTTATTGTACCTTAGTTTTATGACTTTCCGTTTATTTTCCTTTGCCCTATATATTTAGCACGTGATACTTGAGCGTGTCACGTCTAAGGTCACTTAGGGTCAGGACAAACGAAGTTTATGGTCCATAAATAATATGCTGATATTTGGGATAGTATTGCGGGTTCAAGCACATATGTCATTTGAACTACAATAATAACAATAATATAGTAACATATAAAATAGTAATATAGCATCGTGGAATAGGAAGTAGTAGTAGAAATGAACCTGCAACTATTAGAAGTAGAGGTATGTCACACCATCACACCATGGAGGCAGTAAATATGCTAGTGAAATACGTAAAAAGTAGGTACAACAGTTTTAAAACTGAAGCACTTACTTAAAAACAAAGTAGAAAAAATTCTAAATATCACACTAAATTAATCAGGCCGGATTAGAGGTAGATTTTTTAACAAGTCGTAAGTAGTTTTAAGGTTTCTTATAATTTTTAAAAGCAATGTCATTCCATTTATATATAAATGGAATGACATTGCATTTAAAACTTGATGCTATTTAAAAATCCAAAGAAACAACCTTAAAATATCACCTTAATTACAGATTAAAAATGCGCAAGAAAATATGACGTTAATCTCTGAAAAACTTATTACTCTGCTCCGTTATATAAACAGCGACAGCGAATGAGAAAAGGAATGATATATACAGGGGTTTTAAAAGATGATCCTAACTTTTGTTTTTTTTTTAATTTCGTCAAAACAAAGGACCCGTCCCATTCGTACAATGGCGGGTATCTCTTAATTATCTCGAGGCATTACCGGCTTCAGTTTGACCCGAGGATTCTCATTGCGCTCTTTCAACGTAAATGGATTAAGTATTAAACCTTCGGATTATATTTTGAGGTCGGATACGCTTAAAATTTAAGTTGAATATTCAGCAACTCTCAATGTTTCACATATATTAAACCCTTTATATATGGAAACTAAAATCTTATAAACCTATTTAAACTATTGCAGTGTTTTTTAACATTCTTTCAGATTGATACAATGGAAAGAGAGGAAAGGATAAAACGTGCAATGGGCGAATCCTTTCGTACATATGCAAGTACGATGGATGGGGATCCTTAGTAATATGGACTAATAACTCCATTGCTAACAATCTATGGTACATTGTCACTAGCAATGTAATAACATGGTACTAGCAATGTACCATGTCAGGTTGACCTCCACGCAGATGTCCCTGGAAACCTTCTTAAAAAATTGCCATTTACCAATTCAAGTTTTTTGCTCGTTCTTTTCGTGATGAGCTTTCCGAATGAGCGGTAGATTAAAAGAATGATAACTATGCCTCATCAAAAGTACTTAAATTAAGGTTGTTTGAATAAATGATTATCTATTCTATTATTTGCGGAACCTTAAAAAACGTAATCTGTAATGTCACATTGAATCACATCAGTTATCCTCAAATTGAATGTGAAATGAACACCGAAATCGCATTTGAGAAAGCTGCCACGGTGTCCCATTTCGTTAAGTAACGTCTAGGGTTGTCAATCGAGGCAGCACCCCAATCAAATGGCTTCGGAAGGAGGCGTGCGCTTAAATCCACACGCTTCCAGAATTGAATAGGGCAAAATAGGTCGCCCTAACAACGACCAACACCTACGGATCCAGTTAACTCCACCAGAGCCGTAGTAGCATGCTAACGCGATCTCGAATATAGTAGACCGTGTGATTTTTTATTGGGTAGGTGGTTAAGAATCCCACATACCTCCTCGACAGTCCGCTGATGGCAGTATGTTACGTGGAAGATTTAACCACTAAATAAAAAAATGCGTGTGTGTGTATCCACACGTTTCCACCATTTTTTTGGGCGAAATAGGTCGCCCTAACTACGAGATAGGACCTCAACTACACCATCTACAAGTTGGTTAACGCCGTTGTTATGCTGACGCGACCATGTGACTTCGGTAATGGCGCTCGTAAGTACACCATGTGGTTAATTGGCTAAGAATCACATACATCCTCCGACAGCTCTCCGACAGGAGTACGTTCTGTGAAAGATTTTTCCACGAAATAAAAAAAACCGTGCGCATGTTTTCATCATTTTTTAAGGCTTGAAAGGTCGCCCTAACAACGAGATGGGGCCTTTCCTACGGTAGAATGCTAACTCCTCCACGCGTGACTTCCACAATGACGCTCGTAGGAGCAACATGCGTATTTTTAGTGGGTAAAACCCACCCTCGCCATCTCTCCGAACTATCTTTGTGATGATTTCTGCACATTTTTAAAATAAAAAATGAGTTTTCAAAACTTTAATGTATTCGCAAATAACACTAGCTATTTCGCAGTTTACAACGCGCAGTGTTCATTTTTTTCTATAATAGGAATGGCAAACAAGTTGACTATTTTGTGGCAAATAAAAATAATAACATCAGCCTTTTTCGTAATTGGCAACCCTAGTTCCGTCTTTGGACAAACGTAATTCTGTTGTGAATATTTTATTCGCATTACGTTGCTTCTTGTGTAGATAAAAATTAGTTTCATTTATTTAATGAAGTTGTATTACATTTTCTTTATATATTTAGGGGGACAACTTGACCCCTACAAGCTGTCATCGAAAATGCTATTAAAATAAAACATAAAGTAAATGGATGTTTCAAGCTGAAAGTGTTCTTATAACTACATCACACGGCAGATAGTGGATTGACTGATGAAATAAATAATTATTATTATTTCACCATGTACCATCCACCATCTTCTGTCCTTTACTACCCAAAGATTGTCTGGAAGAGATCGCTTAAGACCTTTTGTACCAACATACTATACATATATATCAACTCAGCTCGTATTTTTTTTAATAAATGTTGTACATGTTTGCAATAATAATACAGATTCCTTTGAGTTTAAATTTGGGAGAATAGACTGACCACCAGCATATGCATATGCTATTGAAAAACAAAATATCTAACCAGTGTTCGTAACTTGAATAAGTAGCACCCGTTCACGAGTATGACCGATGCCAGCCAGCCATCATTGCACTCAAACATATTAGAGGGAGCTCATTGAGCCGGCCCACCACGCCGAATTAAATTTGAACGTCATATGACTATTTCAAGTTACTCCACTACGTCATTTATATTATTTACTGCATAGGCTGTACCAATCACAGTTGTCATCTATTATAATACAATATTACAATATTTAATTTACATTATTATTACTTCTGCCCTCAGGGGCGGATCTATCTGAGGGCTTTTTGGGCTGCAGCCCAGGGCCCCGAGGATACAAAGGGCCCCCAGTCCCCACTGAGACGATATTTAGAATATAAAAAAATATCTAGAATGTTAAAATACTTATCATAAAGTTGGCAACACTGAGATCGTATGTAGAATGTAATTGTTTGGCTGAAAGGAGATTTCCAGAGCCGTAAACAACTTAATAAAAAAAAAAACCCTACAGTGCGCGTCTATTGAAAGGAACGGGGAATTTCTGGCCGCTTATTTTTGGTCGGTGTATTTTCTAGTTGAGTAATATAATTTGTTAAGTCTCTAAGTAGATTTAGTCCAGGGCTTCACAAATCCACGATCAGCCCCTGTCTGCCCTTGTAACCATCCACATTCAACTGTTACACCTTCCTTAAGGTATCATACCTGCATAATCCAGGAGCCGTTGCCGGCGAATGTGTACCCGGCATGCACTAGGTGCCGGTGCCTGGTGAACGAGCTGAGGAGGTTCCTCATGCATTGCATCAATGTATTCATCTGAGGATGTATCAGGATCTCTGTCACGAGGTTCTCTGAAGCGTACTGGATAAGACGCTCGCCTGCAACAACATACATATAAATCTTTATTGAAATAAACTTAATACAAGCACTTTGACGGCCTCGGTGATCTAGAGTTTAGCACAGCTTGCTTTCGATGGCCGCGGGTTCAATTCCTGGCACAGTACAGATATTTATATTCATGAGTATGATTGTTTGTATCTATCTGTATTTTCGTATATTATGTATGTATTTACGAAAAAAATCTATGTATTTGTATCAGTTGCCTAGTACCCATAATAATGTTATGTTATCTGTACCATAAGACAGGCTTTAGCTAGCTTAACTTGGGTCTAGATGGCGCTGTGTGAATTGTCTTGAAATTATCATAATTATTCTTTCTAATAAACTTAATGTAAGCACTTTGACGGCCTCGGTGGTCTAGAGGTTTAGCTAACACAGCTCCTTACTTCCGATGGTCGCTGGTTCGATTCTTCGCATATTACAAACATTCATACATATGATTGTTTGTATCGGTCTGTGTTTTCTATTTATATTAGGATAGAAAGTCCTTTTTTATCAGGTAAGTTTAATTTAACCGCTTTTGAATCGCAGTTTTCTGTATAGAAATTAAAGTTGAAAAAAATGAAAATTTCTAAATTAATATACATATGTATACACATACAAACGAATATATAATACCACTAGCAACTCGCCCCGGCTTCGCGCGGGTGTACATGTTATATATATATATATAAACCTTACTCTTGAATCACTCTATCTATTAAAAATTTTAGATTTAAGCATACATTGGGACGGACAGACGGCGACAGCGACTTTATTTTATATTATGTAATGGTATGTTATTTGTGATAATACAAACAAATTAGAATTTAGAATCTACAGTTACAGAAATTAATTGAATTTTTAACTAAAACTCTATACAAAAGCTTCTTTTCTAACCAGATGGCACATAAAAGGGAGGAATACATTGGGGAGAAAGAGATAAAGTAACAAAGGTCGCCCTTGACCTGTCTGCAATATATACCAGTAATGATTTTCGTCGGTATTTTTGGGGTTCCATACCCATCTGTGAGGCGAGAAAATTCATTGTTATGTCGGCCATTTATCACGTAACCTTGCCTAATGTGAGGTATTGCGGCAACTAATTTCAGCTTTTCTTGTATATTTACTTAATATATTATATATTCATTTCAGCTTTTGTTATAGTATTAATTAACTTAATGGATTGTATATTTATTAATTAGATCAAATGAATGAACAACCTGCGGAGGTTTTCTATAGAGACTACAGCATGGGGTTTTACAAGATTTCTTAAGGGTCGACAACGCACGTAACACTCATGGTGTTTCATAGGCTACGGTAACCATTTACCATCAGGTAGGCCGTATGCTTGTTTGCCACCGTAGTAGTATAAAAAAAACACACATAGGTACAATTATATAAAGAAAAAAACGTGTGAGTAAAGTAGTAAGTGCATAACTGACACTAAAAAAAACAATACCTTAGTGTATTGTTTGCTTTTTTTTTAGTAAATACATACATATTACACATAACAAACACCTAGACCTACACAAACAGTCATAGTCATGCGATGTTATGCGAGGAATCGAACCCGCAACTATAGGAAGTAAAGCGGTGTGCTAAACCGCTAGACCACCGAGCACGTCATCTCTAAATATAAATTTCTCCAATCATTTTGGTCACTATGTTATAGATATCTCCCCTTGCGATCGATTCCCAGTCCAATTCAAACGGGGATCGATATTACGACAGCCTGAGCCAAGGTTCGAACCCCTAGAGTGCCCTCAGACTAAAGTCGTATCCGTCAGGCGGGAGTTGGCCTTCAGCCGCTCCATAAGTCCTTCCGCGGGTTTGGAGTGCTATCTGCACTCGCCCCCTATCGTCCGGTGAAGCTATAAAGGCCAGCTGCGGCCAACAGCATTAGAGTAGTCCGAAAAAAAAAGTTATAGATATTTTTTTTAATTTGTATTATTAGGGTCTATAAGTCTAGACATCCGACAACAATCTTATCGGTCGCACTACAGACCTCCAAATTTTTGGGTCCATCTAGAACTCAATGATGGTGACCCAAAACCAAATGTTAGAGCAACTAACCCATTTGGTTATTTCACATAACAGTCATCTAGAACCCGACAGATCGGTCCGATTGATTAGTACCAAATTCCATCTGTAGATATTCAGGCAAGAGTTGGCCTTCAGCCGCTCAATAAGTCCTTCCTTTGACTTGGAGAGTCTGCACTCGCCGCCTATCTGGTGAAGTTGTAGAGGCCAGCTGCGGCCAACAGCATTACAGTTGTTGAGGTTTTATGTACAATTCATTTTTATGTCAATATTTTAAAAAGAGAGAATGTCGTATTTTTTGTGTCAATTAGATATTTAGAAATTTTTGCAATAAACATATGTTTTCTATTCAGCTTTTCTATTAGTATTTTCTTTTCCTAAAACGAGCCGTCCACAACAGTAGTCGTAGTAAAAAGTAGCCCAAAAACTGTAGGCTTTAAGATTTATCCGCAATGCGCCACAAGACTCGAATTATTTTCCTCTGTGTACGTCATTCAGTGCTTTCCAGTTCCATTTCAGACTTCATCCGTTAATCTTATGACCTAAGTAGAGATGTGCCTACATCGAACAACGGAGTAACGAATTTTATCGATATTTTTTTATTATAGCATTTAATTAAGTAATACTTTTAGAGAAAACCAATTTAACTCTGTATGGATTATTTAAACGAGGATGGTGTGTGTATATCTTCGTTCTCGAACGTTACGATATTCCACCGCCGTTCTAATTAGTATACAAGTTGATTTCTTGTTACAGTTTAGAATTATTCAGCCGAGTACAAGTTCTTAAAGAATAGACATAGAATAGAAATAATCTTTATTCAAATAAACTCATTACAAGAACCTTGAAAAGTCATTTTTTGATTCTACCACTCATTCGGAATACAGATTCATCACAAGATGAATGAGCAAGAAACTTGTGTGTTGCTCTTTTGAATAGTTTTTTATATAAATAATTACAGTATAATAAGTAACAGGCATGCGATAATCAACATAGAAATTGCTACGCACTCAATATTAGTGTAATCAGTTAATATTGTCAGCGCTATGGATTATAAATTTTCCTAAAAAAATATCGATAATATCGAGTACCGAATACGGAAACTGGGCACATCTCTAGTCCTTAGCCATTGTTCGTCGTTATCGAACGCTACGATATTCCATCGCCATTCTCATTAGTATACGAGTTTATTTATTGTTACAGTTTAGACTTATTCAGCCGAGTATGAGTTCTTAAAAAATATCGATAATATCGAGTACCGAGTACGGAAACTCGGCACATCTCTATTCCTTAACCATTATTCGTCGATATCGAACGCTACGATATTCTACCGTCATTTTCATTAATATAGAAGTTCATTTCTTGTTACTCATTATAGTTATTCAGCCGAGTATGAGTTCTTGAAAAATTATCGATAATATCGATTATCGAGTACAGGAAACTCGGCACATCTCTAGTCTTTAGCCATTATTTGTCGTTATCGAATGCTACGATATTCCACCGCCATTCTCATTAGTATACAAGTTGATTTTATGTTACAGTTTAGAATTATTTAATTGAGTTCTTAAAAAAATATCGATAATATCGAGTACAGGAAACTCGGCACATCTCTAGTCCTTAGCCATTATTCGTCGTTATCGAACGCTACGATATTCCACCGCCATTCCCATTCTCTTGAATTCTGTCTTAATCCAATTCCTCGGGCGAGGCCGCCATTCGATACGTTACTGAATGCTCGGTCTTTTGTAGGTTGGCAAACTAACGGCAGGGTTGCCAGTTAAATCTTTTACTTCGTACAAAAGAAACCAAAAACGTCGTATTTCAACCATTTGATTTTGACTTTAGATCATTCTCTTCTTGTCAGTTCTTAAATGAAAGTCAGTAAGACTTTATGAAGCGAAGAATTTTGTGCGTAATTGGCTATATATATATATATATATATATATAGCGTGGAGTTAAATTATATTTTTCTAAAATAGAAGTAGTAAGTTACTCCTTATTACATCAGCTACTTGCCAATAAAAGTCCCGTCATAATCGATCCAGCCATTTCAGAGATTAGCCGGAACAAACAGACAGACAGACAAAAATTGTAAAGAAATGTTATTTTGGTGTATGTACCATAATTGTATTCATATACATGTAGTAAAAAACGATCAATATGAAAGACCAGTATTACAAACAGACACACCAATTTTATTTATATTTGTAAAAACTACTAAATGGATTTTTCGTTCATCGTCAGTGCTAGTAAATCTCATGTAATAAAAATAAATTATTTGTTTACCAATACAGTTAGAGATATTTCTTATTCATTAGAATACAGTAAATAACCAAAGAGCACAACATTTTTTATAAATAAGAAAAAATAAATTTATTGTCATTATAAAATATTTATATTTATTTTTATATTAAATTATTGCAGGATTCATGATGTATAGTAGAATTTAAAAACATATTTTATATCAATGTATGGTAGAAATTTGTATGAGGATGCTCTTAGAGCTAGCAACCCTGTTACTTACATAATACCATTTCTATGAACCGTAGTGATTGCTTGAAAGCTACAGTATTATTTGCAAAGGGTGTTATACGTTTGCAGCGTTTATCCTAGTCCTAGACCTCTACGTTTAGCAGTTTAGCACCAGTCTAAAAGATTTATAAGGTTTTATGTTTAACTAACTACTCGCCCCGGCTTCGCACGGGTGTACATGTATTATATATATAAACCTTCCTCTTGAATCACTCTATCTATTGAAAAAAACCGCTTCAAAATCCGTTGCGTAGTTTTAAAGATTTTGCACACATAGAGAGAGACAGCGACAGCGACTTTGTTTTATACTATGTAATGATGATTTCTTACAGGTTAATCTATGACCCGATATTTTAATAATA